CCTTTAAGATTTTTATCTAAAAGAGCATTTCCTATTTATATATTATATTCTAGATTTTTCAATCTTTTGTGTATATCCTCAAATTTTTCATTTGTACTATTTTTAGCTAAATAAGGATAACTATGTTTCTTATGTTTTTCAACTTTTTAAAAAAATTCTTCAATTATGTTTTCTTCGTCAATTATATTCATCATTATTTTAGGTTCGTGACTTGGCTCTAATACCATTTTTACCAGAGTGTGTGCGTGCGGAAGGTTTTAAGAAATTTCTTTAAATTTTTAATCATTCTTAGTATTTTCTAAATATTCTATTATATGTTCTTTTGTTACTCTATGATTTATTAGAAGGATATAAAATCTAATAGTTAATTCATACCTTAATCTTTTATGTGCATTACACATTTTATGGAATTCAGATTTTCTCATTTATAATATCTTAGAATTAAATTTATCAAAGATTCTTGGTTTATAAATTTTTGGGGATCTAATTGAAGTTTCTATATTCTTATAGTGGTTTTATATGCAAATTTTATATAGGAGGGTATTTTTGGAAGTTTTTTCTTTCTGTAACTTTTTGTAATGATTTTTCAGTACTTGAAGACTTCCTCTTAATAATCTTACTGAGTTCGTTGGCTTCATTATTGGAGTTCAGAAGGTTGAACTGTTTTTCAGCAGTTCTCTGGTTAGATCTTTCTAAACTCTATTTTCTTTGACCAAAACACGATTATGATTACTAGTATGCTATTGAGATATTTGAATTTGCACGCGTTAGAAAATATGGGTCATGGGTCGCCCATGTGGGTTAACCCGATCCACTAGTTATTAAAGTGAATTGGAGGGAGCGGTTTAAATAGAATTCAAATTCATAATTTCTCTCAACTCCCACCAACTTCCAACCTTTTATATAACTCCCATAACTTTGTCTTGCACTAAGAAGAGGGAAAAAATGACAATAAAATGGTGAAAATTCGAATGAAAAATATCATCCAAATTGAAAAGCACCTAAAACCACTATTTTGACATGAAAACTCACAAAAATTGGCATTTAGATTGTGGCGAATAATCCTCTTCCATTGTAATCGGGATTGCGACCATTGGAGTTTAAGAAAATTGTATATTTGGACTTTTCGAAACCAAGGTGATTCAACCATTTAAAAGATCTTGAAATTCATCATTTCAATTAAACATCTTAACTCGAAATTCATGTTAAAATATGTTGCAAAGTACTTCATTGGTATCAGAGCCATAAGATTAAATTCCTCGCTGTAATACATGTTTAAATATGCAATTACATGATATAATTGGGTTATGCATTTTATATATAAAGTTTTGAAATTTTATGTGGTCTTTAATGACTTCTTTTGAAAATTTACTGCATTCTATACATTAACAATTATGCAGTAAAATTAGTATTGTTAGAAAGATATTTTAATAAACTTTCCAACCATATAAAGAACTTAAAATTTGGATTTAAAACGAAGAAGTTATGAGGTTTTGAAGTTTGGATGTAAATCTGAAATTCAAAACTTCATCACATGATAACTTTTTCTAAACTGTGTTTCATGTTTCTAATTTGATATGGTTGGATAGATGTTCTTGATACCTTTCTAACAAAATAAAGATCATTAATTTTGTCCTTGAAATGAAGAAGTTATGGTCTCCCGAAAGTTGGATGTAAATCTTATTTTTTGCAAGAAGATTGGTAATATCCGAAACTTCATCACATGATTACTTCTTCTACACTATGTTTTGTGCTTCTCATTTGGTATGATTGGATAATCTGCTCAAAATATTTCTAATGATATAAAGATCATTAATTTTAACNNNNTGATATAAAGATCATTAATTTTAACATTAAAATGAAGAAGTTATGATTTCTTGAAATTTGGTTGAAAATTTTGCATTTTTTTGCCATGTTGACTCTCAGGCAAATCTGTTAATGTCCTAAACATTGATTTTGTAAAATCTGACTACTTATATACTTTCATGAGTTGTGTGGGTTTTTGATTATGTTATGTGATCCATTGTAATTTGTTTTCAACTTTTGTGCTTGATTAGATATTATTGGATCTATGCACTTTATAGTATCTTTAGAGGGAATGCTGGAAAAACAAAGGCTATAAAACTTATTGAAAAGTTATATGTTTAATGAAATTAATAAATGGATCTGGAGCATGACCTAATGAGACATATAAATATTTTTGGGACAAGTTTTTGTGATAAGCAGAATACGATAATTCTGATGTCACTTCCCATTTGTCTGGATTGTGTTGCAACAGATATTAAAGTGATGTTGAGAGTCTATAAAATAAAATTTAAATGATATAAGTTTTATTCTTCGATTATAATTAGAATTATTTTCTGAAAGAATTAATTTGTGATATCATCGTATATGTCATAATTGGATAAATGTGCATGTTTATACTTTTGCACATTATGGATTTATCTTATTGAATTACATGATATCTATTAATTCGTGAATTGTTATGAATGCTAAGGTCAATAGAGTAGTGAGATTTTTACTGAGACCTATGATATTTCACTGATTGGGAGATCTAGAGAAAATCTTACTTTTAGAACTATTTGACTCACCAACTGAGTGGGAGTTCTTAAATTAGAAGAATCAATGTAATTCTTGCTTATAACTCATGGAATTTTGCGTTATGAAATTAAGTCTATGATAGTGAAACAATAGGATTGTGGACGATGATGAGAAC